ACAATAAGACCATTTCATTGTCCTTTTAGTCCACCTTCAAAAACACATGAATGAGAGAAAAAAGAGAAGGTGCTATATCACGTTTTTACATGGTCAAAATAACATGCAAAAGGGGCATAACACTCATGCACATATTGTGAACCTACATTTTATTCAAATTTATTTTATTTATTTATTTTTTACACCTGAAATGACTTGTCACTTTCCAAGCCAAATTAACCTTTATATAATGGGGCTTGCATTGCAAGATCAATAATTGCTACATTTTCTCCCCCTTTTTTCGTTTCTTATTTTTTTCAAGTTAATAATTTTTTTTGTACTCTTGTTGAATAATTTTCAGGCATGGCTCTGTTGAAAAGGGAAATTGTGTTGGTCTTGATTTTTGTGGGTATAATTTGTGGTTTTTGCAATTGCTCTGTGTACAAAGTTGGTGATAGTGTTGGGTGGACTATCATTGCCAATGTGGATTATAACCAATGGGCTTCCTCTAAGACCTTCAAAGTTGGTGACACTCTTGGTTAGTACATACAACTTTATATTACGGTCCCGTTACGGAACTATTTTGTCGAAGTTTGTAACCGTTAGATCATCATGTAATTTGTCGAAAATAGTTGATCTAACTATTACAAATTCCGAGGGAATGGTTCCGTAACGGGACTATAACATCTCACATATATTATTATTATTATTTATTATTATTATTGGCAATGAGGATTATTTATTTATTTATTTATTTATTTTTTGTCTAGTTTTCGAGTACGATCAAGCATTTCACAACGTGTTGCAAGTAAGCCGGTCGGATTTCCACTCATGCACTCCGGCAGCTCCCATGGCCACCTACGCCACCGGCAACGACTCGATCACCATCCATAACCCCGGCCACTATTACTACATTTGCGGCTTTGCGGGCCATTGCCAAGCCGGACAGAAGGTCGACATAAGGGTGCCCAGGTCCACTCGGCCCACTATTCCAGGCCCAGCCCAGGCTCCCCTCGGGACTGAAGCTCCACAAGACCTTCCTATCAGGCCGGTTGGGCCAGCCCCTTCTCCAAACGGCGCAGAATCAATTCTGCGTAAAAATGGGCTGTTCTCCAATACTGTCGGACTGTTGCTTCTCATTGTTTGGGCTTGGAACTGATAGGTTTCATTGGACTATGTGTTTGGGCTAGCTTTTAATTTTCTCCCCTTTTTGCTCTTTATTTTTTTCCTCTTATTTTTAGCTTGCCTCTTTTGAATATTTATTTGGGTGCTTTAACATCCCTAAAATTATTATGCTTTAATATTTATCAGGTATAATCTCTTGTAAAAATATTATTTACCAAATTACCATAAGTAGAGGTTCTGTGAAAAATCGCACCGAACCTCGATAGTAAAAAACCGAACATGTTAAAAAAATGACTCGAACTGCAACATAGGAAAAAACCGTAAAAAACACGTGTAATAAATTGAACGGAAACGGACAAAAAAAAAAAANATAAAAAAATCACATGTACAGCACACCGTAACAAGAGTACAGCCTTCCTTACGCAGTTTCCTACTACCATCGTTAAATCCTTCCATTAAATAGAAACCGAAATTCATCACACACCACACACGCATTTCATGTAACCAATTCCCAGTTGTCCACTCACACTCACACTCAGAAAAAAAATAAATAAATAAAAAAAAAAACGTAGCAACACACTCACACTCACTGCGTGTTTATTTACTCTCTGCACTTAATGTAATTCAGTAGTAAAGCGTGACTTTTTCCCGCTTTTGCGCGGGCAATCCCTATCGAGTTATCCGCCATTGTTATACATACACCTTTACTATATATATATATATATATATATATATATATAGCGATTTATCTATAGTTCACTGTAATTTAGACTGAAAGCGATGGAGTTGGGCACGCTTACTTTGGAGATTTTCTCCAAGCTCGAGCAGCAATGGCTGCACCACTACGAGGGCAAAAAAACCCGCGTCCTCAGCATCGACGGCGGAGGAACCACCGCCATTGTCGCCTGCGCCGCCTTGGTCCGCCTAGAGGACCAGATCCAGGAGAAAACCGGCGATCCCAACGCTCGCGTGGCTGATTTCTTCGACATCGTCGCCGGCACCGGAATCGGCGCCCTCCTCGCCGCGATGCTCGTCGCTGACGACGGCTCCGGACGGGCGCTGCACTCCGCGAGAGGCGCCGCCGCGTTCCTGATGGAGAATCGTGGCCGGCTTTTCAAATCGAGAAGCGCCGGCGTCTTCCGACGCCGGACGAGGTTCTCCGGCGGGAGCATGGACGCCGTACTGAAGGAGGCCTTCCGGAGGGAGGACGGGAAGGTGATGAAGATCTCCGACGCGTGCAAGCCGGTGCTCGTGCCGTGCTTCGATCTGATCAGCTCGGCGCCTTTTGTGTTCTCGCGAGCCGACGCCGTCGGCTCGTCGAGCTTCGACTTCGAGCTGTGGCGGGTGATACGAGCCGCGATAGCGACGCCGCCGGTGCTCAAGCCGTACAAACTGTCGTCCGTGGACGGCACGACGACTTGCCTGGCGGTTGACGGCGGACTCGTGATGAACAACCCGACGGCGGCGGCCGTCACGCACGTGCTGCACAACAAGCGGGATTTCCCGTCGGTGACCGGAGTCGAGGATCTGCTGGTGCTGTCGATCGGTAACGGACCAATGAGCAGCCCGTCGGGTCTGAAGCTCCGCCGCGACGGCGAGTGCTCGACGGGGACGGTCGTCGGAATCGCCCTCGACGGCGTATCGGAGAGCGTCGACCAGATGCTGGGCAACGCCTTCTGCTTGAATCCCCAGGATTACGTTAGAATTCAGGTAACGGAGTTATTTTTTCGCCTTCATCGACGGCGTTATCTCTGCCTCGGATAACGGAGTTAAATAAATTCTAACGGCGTTATTTTTGCAGGCTAACGGCGAGGGGGAAGACGTTCTGGCGGAGAGGGCAATAGAGTCGTTGCCGTTTGGCGGCAAACGCCTTCTGACGGAGACCAACGGACAGAGGCTCGAAGGGTTTGTGCAGCGGCTTATTGCGACGGGAAAGGGGAGCCTGCCGCCGAGTCCGTGCAAAGAGACGGCCGTTAGTCCCCTGGTTAACGGCCGTTAGTGTATTTTCCCATTTGTTTGATAAATTTCGTTTTACTTAGCTACCTGTCGGCTTATCTGTACCTTTTGTCAACTTTGCCTTGTTAGCGGTACATTTTAATAATTAAGTTTAATTATGCAGTGCATATTAATTAATTACTGCGTGTAATTAATCAGCTAGACATTACCCTACCTCTAAAGTATGTTTAATTATGTAGTGGATATTAATTAATTACAGCCGTGTAATTAATCAGCTAGACATTACCCCACCTCTCTCGCACTTGATTAATAGAGGCTCTTAAATATGCATCCAGAGCGTTTGGATGAGATGCTTGGGTCTCTTCCAGTTTAACCAGTGGTCTCGAGTTCGAGCTTTGGGAATGCAGCAGTGTTAAAACTCTTAAGGGAGAGCTTTGCCGCCTTTGTGGTCCTATCCGGCTCGATTCCGGATTAGTCGGTTCCCCTGTGGATCTAAAAAAAAAATGCATTATGATCTTTTGTATATAAATTTGCATTAATAATATGACCGCATTTATGAGCAGCTAATAAAGTAAATTATATCTCGAAACTTGTTTCTATCATAACTTCTTTACATTATTCCAATTAATTAATATCTCATAGGCTTTAACCTTGTAGATTCCATCCTGCATACTAGTATCTGATTTTTTTACAAGTTCAAGCACATGCACAAATATGTGCTTAACATCTACAATGCATTGGATCTAGTCTAGCTTATGTGAAGTTAGATAATATTTATTTCAATGTAAAAAGATTGGGTCGCTACTTGGAGCTAAAACAGATTTAAGGGTAGACTAGGACTCTTTTTCTAGTTGTCACATCAGAATGACCTATTCTAATTTTGTTTGCATTGGATAATACATTTTTTACACTAAGTCTATTTCTTAGGTAAAATACGTTTTTTTGTGATTGAACCCAAAACATTGTGAATGCTTACAATATGATATGTACTGTGTTGATTCAATGATAACAAAAAAAAAAATCGGTTGATGCGTTGCATATAGAACTGTAAACAAATCGAGTTTGAGCCTTAATAAGTTATATTTTGCTAAAATTCGTACAAGTGTTTAAATAATGCTCTTATTATTTGAACTTAACTAATTTTAACGAGTCAAACTGAACTCACGAGGAACTTCTTGATTTTTCACTTGTTGACATACATATAGAAACAGATGAAAACG